AGTCATATGTTTTTTTTTTTTTTTTTTTTCCCTTATATGTCAGGAGAGGTCAACTGGTCGGTCTCGTGGTTTTGGGTATGTGACCTTTGCAACCGATGAAGATGCCAAGGTAAGACTATCTTCAATACCTTCACGTTTCGTTAGACTTGATGCCTGATGCCTTACACCTCTTTGTTGCAGAATGCGCTATCTAATGAGCACTTCCTTGGCAATAGAATGCTGGAAGTTAAAGTTGCCACACCAAAGGTTAGTTTCTCTTTTTCTCTCTTTCCCTTTTTTATTTGCCTTCCTTGCATACATTTTCCTTGTCTAGAATTCCCTTCATTTTTATCTTCTTTTTGAATAAATAAATCATTAAAAGTGTGAGTACTGTGTTTCGATTTGTATGCATACATATTTGTATCATATGCTTCGAATTGAAAAGCATTTCCTGGCAATGATCATATTTTCAGGAAATATATTGTATCATATTTGTATCATATTTTCTGTTGACAGGAAGAGATGAGAGCACCTCCAAAGAGAGTTACGAGGATATTTGTAGCAAGGATTTCACAATCTGTGACTGAGGCTGCCTTCCGCAGGTAGTTTGGTGTGATTTTATGCCAGATTCTTGTGCACAATCAATATATATCAGACATTAGTTGAACACGATGGCTATACGTTGGACACTTCTTAGGCACATGTTAAATCCTTGTTAAGCATAATAAATAGGTCTTATTTCACTTGATAAGGGCTGTTCCTTTTGTGGATTCGGTTTTATTATATGCCTTTTTATTCTTTCATTTTCTCTCAATGAAAGCTTGATTCTTTATTAAAACAAACGTTCTTAAAAAAGAAAAGAAAAGAAAAGAAAAATAGTAATATAGGACAAAACAATTTACTGAGTTAATTTATCAATTTTTTTTTCCAAGCATACACATAGGCTTACTGACTTGAGATTTGCTGATGGTATACAATATTCATTTAAAAAGTGTATATTTTAATTAGTGTATTCTTGTCACGTTTGTGTCCTGAACTTTTTAGAAAATTCCGTCTTACTGTGTCCATGTTGTGTTGTGTGCGTCTCTCCTGTCCATGCTAGAAATTTGATTGGGATTTATCGGTGAAGGCTGAAGAGGAATTGGGAAGAGAACAGGCAACAAAGCTGGAAGTAGGAAAAAAGATTGAATCTGGCCTAAAGAATTCAGGCTATAGATCATTTAAGGAATTCTGTGGAGAACTGAGAAAGTACAAACCTCTTAATGGAACTTTGTCGCCAGAAACTTTTTGAGCTTCAAATCTGACGTGGAATTATCAGTGAATAGGAGGCAGAGACTAATTTAGAAGAGGATGGGAAAAAAGATGAAAGAAGAAAAATATTGAATCACACCAAGAGTATGCAGGTTATAGAACGTCGAAGGAAGTTGTGGAGGCATGAGAGAAATTGAGAACTTCTCAATGAAACTTCGTAGCAACTTGAGAGATAAAGAACTTTGAGGTGGCAGTTGAATGACTATTTGTTAATTTTCTATTCACATCATTACATGTGGGAATGACAGAATGATAATCCATAAAGTCTAAGGAATGTATGCGTGAGGAAAGAGTGAGGATTGATTTTTTAATTAGTTAGTTAAAGGGGGATGCATCGATGTGTTACGAATTTGTGGGGCTGACATAATAGGAAAGAGGGAGTGCTCAAGGGAAAGAAGGGAGCTAGGAGAGGTACGCTTGCTTGGTCGGCAAGTTGGGTGTACTTTGGAGCGAGTTCGCTTGATTGTGTAACATATTGATAAATAAAGCTAGCTCCCATGCTTGTATAGCTTATCAAGTATCGAGCAAGAAGCTACACTTTATGGCTTATGTTTTCCCGTCCTCTGACCCTTCCTCCTTGCTGTCCTTGAGTTTTTTCCGCAATTTCTCTAAAAGAGAGGCTTTGGATGTTGTGCGCCTTCTTTTGATTCCTTAGGGGCGATATGTTCTTCGCGGGGGGAGGGACACTAGGTTCTAGTCCCTGGATCCATGTAGGGGCTTCTCTTGTAGCTCTTTCTATTGGTTCAGTCTGGCCTGTTCTCCCTCTTTCTGTGTTTGCTTTCTCCCTGGTCTGGAAAGTGCAAGTCGCTTAGAGGGTAAAATATTTGTGTGGCAGATTTTACACGAGAGAATCAACACTTGGACCTGTTCCTAGGTGCATTCTATATAGGTGTCAGACTGAGTATTTGTATCATCTGTTGTGGGTTGCTCGTTTGTCCGAATTTTTTGGGCTCATTAGTTAGATTCTTATAATTTATGTTGGGTTTGACAGAGGAGGTTCTCCTGGGCTTACTTTTTCGTGAGAAGGACACTGTTTTGTGGCATGCCAGTTTCTTTTGCCATGCTATGGGGGGTTTGGCTGGAGAGGAATTTTAGAATTTTTAGAGAGGTGTGGGTGTCGGTCACTTGGCCTTTTTGTAATTATGATCTTGGTTTGATTTTGTTGGATTGAAGTCCCTTTGCATAGTTTATGAGACGTTCTTTTGTGGGTCTTATTTTATCTATACCCATATATTTTCTTTTATTTCTCAAAGAAAGTGCGGTTTCTTCTACAAAAAATAAATAAATCCATCTCATATCACAAACTTTTGTGTGTCCTTTCTGTTTCAAATGGGGATGTTGCAGGGACAAACATTTTATAATTTAATTTGGGGATGATCCGTGCTTGCATCTGCCCCCCAAATGTGTCCCAAATTATTACCATTATTCTATTGACCTATTAACCTTTTCCATTGACAGACGAATAGGAAGTTTCATATTTTCATTAAATGAATTATTTAAACTAATAAATAATAAAATTAATTTTATTGCCTAGAAAAAGTAGGTACCTGCCAGGAAACCTGTTCCTTCAGGGTTTTTAGACATCTCTTAAGAGTCAGAGTCTGTTGACTCAATCCACAAGGACTTTGGTAAAGCTTTCAAGCTATATACCCAAATGTAACTTTGTAAGAATTTCATAATCTGATGGTTATCGGAGAGAAGATTGTTGGTATCCTTCGGATGGCACTAAGGCCTTTTAAGAATCCACTAAGACACTATTCAAGCATCTCGTAGAAGAGTTGCAACGTTTGTCTTAAGAAGTTGATTCATGTTTTTTATTTATGACTTGATGATCTTTTTTTGTTATTTGGTTTACAAATTCTTGATGGAAATGAACTTCATGTTTGTTGCAGTCATTTTGAGAAATATGGAGAAATAACAGATCTTTACATGCCGAAGGTACGTTTTCCTCTCACTAAACTAGGAAATTAGTTCTGTGGTTCTACAACCAAGTGTAAATCAGGAAGGGGATTCTCTATTCCTATTTTCACTTATCAGGTGTACATGTACTACGTGAATTGGAAAATATGGGTCACCCATGTTTTTGTGCAGTGTATATTAACATCTTTTAACATTTGTTAATTATTCAGGACCAGGGCTCAAAAATCCATCGTGGAATAGGTTTCATCACTTTTGCAAGTTCAGGTTGGATCATCTTTTTATATTGATTTAAGATAATGATTGCAGAGTTCAAGTTGGCGACTTTTGGCTTGTTTCTTCAATTTCTGAAAATATTCCGTCCAAATACGGATCCTTTTAATTGTTTACTAGTGCAGTAGTTGAGTTTTTCTACACTGTTCAAAGATTTCCTGATACATAAGTACAAAGATTGGTTTATGGGAAAACATTTTCTCTCTGCTACCACTCTCAAACAACTCACTCTCTTTCATATCATCAACAAGCATAGGTAACACATCACAAAGAATCTCATTTTTATACTTTTCCAAAATAAAAGATATTAAAGCTTGAGAAACTATCTTCATTTTTCCACTATATTGAGTCATTGAAACTTATAAGGTTTAGGATGGTGTTGGGTTGGAACTTGCAACATTTTGTGGTTGCCGATTTCCAGGCACTAAATGTAGCAACTACTATCTTGTAGACTCTGTAGAGAATTTGATGGCTGAAACTCATGAATTAGAAGGTTCTGCAGTGGTTGTTGACAGAGCGACCCCCAAGGCAAGATTTTGCTGTTATCTTTATAACACCATATTTACCTTTTGATGGATTCTTTTTTATTTTTTTTTTTTTTGAAGGCCAAAGGATTCTTTTTAGTTTGTAATGATTTTGTTTGTCTAATTGAGGTCAATATACTATTTTTCCAGGACGATGATTTCAGGCCCATAGGGAAAATGCCGCGAGGGGGTCGTGGTGGTGGTGGTGGTGGTGGTGGATATGGTGCATACAATGCTTATATTTCTGCAGCAACAAGATATGCAGCACTTGGTGCTCCTACCTTATACGACCATCCAGTCTCAGTTTATGGTGGGAGTATGTATCTCTGATAGTATCCTTGTTCATGTGATGCTTGGTCTTGGTGAATATTGTTATGATGATTCCCTGTGTCATTGGATCAGGAAGGGAATTTCGAGGGATGGGAAAAAAGATTTTTATTGGTAGGCTCCCACAAGAAGCATCTGCTGATGATCTCCGCCAATACTTTGGTAGATTTGGCCGTATATTGGATGTCTATGTTCCCAAGGTAAAAGTAGATTTAGTTAATGCTCTACTTTTTATGAGTGACTGAATTGAGATAGCATAACGGTTCAGTTGTTAATGACGAATGTAGGATCCTAAAAGATCTGGTCATCGAGGTTTTGGTTTTGTAACTTTTGCTGAAGATGGTGTAGCAGATCGTGTATCTCGAAGATCTCACGAGATTTGTGGACAACAGGTATTCTACTGCATGTCACTTTCCTTACTAGAAGGGCATTGCCAGCGACTGTTCTTTCTGCCTTTTGCGAGTAGTGGTTACTAGTTATTAGTTATATGATTATTACGCAAGCTTCAATCTTGGGTTATGAATCTTATCTCACAATTGGAATCTGCAGGTTGCTATCGATTCAGCCACTCCTCTTGATGATGCTGGAGCAGCTGGAGCAAGTGGAACTTTTGTGATGAATAGCGCGGCAGAATCTTTTGGGAGCTATGGTGGACCTATGAGGACTTATGGAAGGATGTATGGAAGCCTGGACTTTGATGATGTAAGTGGCTCTGTTTCTATTTGAATTATATTCAAGTTGGTTAAAATTTAGGTAGTGATTGATAGGTTGTCCACCACATTTAGCGAGCTTTACATTTACTGGTGCCTGCCTCTCAGACCCTCCCAAGGGTCCTACAATTAGGATTATAAACATTTTGATTAAAGATTCTTTAGAAATTATTTTAAGGTTTGGTTTCTGAACTTTGAAAGTTTTTTATGATAAGCATTTTTTGGCAAAGTACTTTTGAGTGCTTTTGATGAGTCAAAAGTCAAAAGCCAAAAGCATTTAAAAAGGTTACTTCAACATGAGTTGTTTTCTCTTTTCAGCTTTTTAAAGATTAATGGGTTTATATTGTGCAGTGGGGTTATGGAGTTGGTGGTGGAAGACCATCTAGAGCAGACTGGAGGTATCGGCCATACTGATGAGAGACAAACCAGCATTGAATTAGTAGTGATGGCTGATGGCTTGATAAATCAACGGCATGAATTGCCATATTTATGGGGAAGATATTTGAGGTTTCAGCCTTTGTAGAGTCGATATCTTTCAATGTCTGATTATTTGGTTTCTTTTGGTTTATTGTTTTTCAACTGTCTCAATACCATTCCTTAGCTGAAACATGGATCAATTGGGGTCGTCGAGGTGTGGAGTCGGGGTGTGGAATCGGGATCGGGACCAGGAGGGTATGTCGGCTGTATGAATGTTTGGTTAGAGTAGTTCTTAGTGAGTTATATTCTTCTCTAACTCTACTTTAAGAATATCCATTTTATAACTTCTCTAGGTTAGTTTGGTTATCATCGAACAATTGATTGACTACTGAACGCTGGATGGCCTTTTTTTAGTTATGCGTTCTTTTTCTTTGCATCAGTCCTACAATGTTATCGGATCCTTCCAATTAGACTAAATCCATGGTCAAATAAGAACACTCCCTCAAGAACAAAATTGTATTGCAATAGAAGTGGCTGATTCACTTAAACCTATTACGTCATTTAATTTCAACCCATTTACACTATTTTGACCGATTCATTTATTTTTGACATGTTCATGTGAAAATAGATAGCTAAACGATGGAATATGAATATTTGAACAGTCGTTGGGGCTTTAGTATCATATTTATAGTTACTTTATGATGATTATGCATGATGATGATGATTTATTGCCTTTTAGTATTCTTAAAAGCATGATAAGAGGCTCGAAATCTTAATTATGCCTTGACATATGATTGGATTGATGCTATGTGACTGAGAGTACATGCATGATGAATTAGTGCCTTAACTTCTATTTTACTTTTCTTTGGTAATAGAACCTTAATTAGGGTCTATTACGATTATATGGGTTGACTTCTACTATAGAGTGGTTGGGCACAACCCCTAATCACAAACTTATCTTGACTAGTGAGAATCTACTTAATATATAGGATTGTGATATTACCCACCCCTAGGACCAAGAAGATGTTATTGAGGGAGTTCTGGTTGTTACCTTGACTTGTTAGCATCATCAAGGAAGATTTTGGTTAACGCTCAAGTAGTAGGTTTGTGTGGAGTTACAGGGAGATTGAGAGGTTACCTACATAGAGTGATGACTCCACACCTACTAGATCTACCCTAGAGTTCGAGATAGATGAGTGCACCTTGACTTATGTGCAAGAAGCACGATGACCTAGATAGATCTTGGAGAATAGGAAAGTAAGGTTAAGTGTACCCAAAACTCTAAAATAACTGAGAGGGATGATTTACACCCTTGAAATAGGTGTGTAGGATGTATGACTATGAAAGCCGGATAGGGCTAGTATGAACCCAATGCCATAGAGTTAGATAACTTTAGAAATTTGAATGAATACAAGCCTTAAGAACATTGAATATGAGAAGTTTCAATGAATGCCTACAAATACGTTATTTATCGAGTATTTTTATACTTGTGCTTGCTATTATTTATCTTCCAGAGTATTTATTTATTTATTGCAACATCTTCCTTGTTTAGATCTCTCTCTCAGTCATTATTAAGCACTTAAACCACACTATGAAAAATTTACAAGGATATTAGGAGACAATGGTAGATAGTGACTCTCATATGGTGGACAAAGTAGTGAGACATGCGACTGCATTGTGAGGTGTAAATGTGCACACAAAGTCTCTCATCTCAACTGCGTAGCCTTAACTTTCGCTCTTCATGGAGCAATTTAGCAAACTCGGTGAGAGCTTCCTCATTAGTACCTTCTCCTTCAACAACCTCATATCTTCCTGTTTCCAAATTAACCCTAGACACGAATTTCTTTAGTAACTCCTCTCCAATCTTCACAAGCTTTTCTAAGTTCTCCGCCGTTGCTATATCCACCGATGCAGTGTCGCCCGTCAACGAGTCATCCTGTTCATACACAAACCTCATCCTATCACTATTTTTCTCTTCATACACAAATGACATATAAACTAGCATTACCTGGATTCGAAGATAGTTTTGGTCAACCTTCAGAGACTGAAAAAGGGTCGACACGTGAAAGTCAACCATGTCGGAACTCGCGTCGGTAAAAAAGTCGATGATTGGAGTGGAACCACTGTTTAGCTGAAATATCCAACTAAGAGCTCCCCATTCTGAAGCTTGTGTTGCATTATACTTCTCTTCATGTTTAGGCAAGCCAGTCCCTAGAGATAGAACAAGCATTCTTCTTGCATCATTTGCTTTGATCCTTGCCGTTTCTATTTGATGCACTGCAATTTGCCTGTTTATGTGGGATATGGCTGCTAGTGTCTGCCAAATTTAAGATTAGTTTCATTTGATTGTTTTTTTAACTTAAGGCACATGTTAAAACTCACGGGATTATTAACGGCAACAGCACCGTCAATGACGTTGTAAGTGCGAGTTGTGTTGGCTTCCTCGTCCTTCGTCTCGAAGAAGTGTGCGGGTAAGAACGTGGGTGCGGCTGATGTCGCTAGGCACACGTCCGACAACTTTGGATTCTTCAATGCATTTACTTTCGCCTGCAATTCATGTTATGAAATTTGATTTAAGATAGAAAAATATCGGTAGAATAGATATGACTAATAACTGTAATTAAGAAATATATTTTATATAGCCGGCGAACATTAATAAATATTCTACTTTCTATTCCACTTCCACTCCAATTTTTCATTCTTAACATATATTCATTTAATTTCTTTTCTCGACTCTAACAAAATGTATGAATAAACTCAAAATTGAAACATTAAGATTTTGATTACATCGTTGGTGTTGAAGATGACGGGTTGGAGAACCTTGATGTCGAAAGCGGGAATCACGACGTTGGTCAACGTCTGATTCAGAGTCAAATCTCCGACCAACTCATTCACCACCGTCCTCAGATAGTTACCGTCATATTTTGGCCCTCTCACTCGCCCAAACAAATTCATCACCCCACCAAAAAAATGCCTATAATATCATCAAATTTGTATCAAACTCAGTAAACAAAATCAACTTCACAACCATAGCTAACCTTGGTTGAGGAAAAATCTTTGGAGTCTCCTTGATGTAAAACTCCGTAATCTTATTAGCCGCAAACAATGGTCGATTGTTGTTGTTCTTGTCCGGAGCTGTAAGCATAGTCGTCACTAATCCCCCGGTGCTTGTCCCAGCAATTACGTCGAAGTAATCCACTAATCTTGCTTCCTCGCCGTCCAATTCCTACAGGGTCAACCCCAAATTATACGTATAGAGAAAGTATAATTCATACGTCCAAGATAGAGAAAACGAATATTATACCTGAAGTTTGGACTCGAGAAATGTGAGGAGAATTCCGGGGATGATGCCTTTGATACCGCCGCCATCAATACTCAGAATTGTTACAAGCTGCCCTTTTTCAAAGTTTGGATTCATTTTGGAAGGTTTGGGTATCAAAAATGAGTATATTTTGAAGGAGGGTATGATTGGTTTGGTCAAGATGGGTAAATAGTGGGCAGTTGAGACCATAATCAATAATGGATAGGACAGGCCTGTTTTTGAAGGCCAACAATCACCCTCTAGCCCCAACTTTCAAAATAATAATAATTCAAAAAAATAAAAAAAATTAAACATAAAAATATTTTCCGGTAAAGGCCGACTTGATTTTTTAGGGATATCTTGTTAGGTTGAATTGACTCAATGACCTGATTAGGGTTACGACCTCATGTATTTATAGATGTATACCATGAACATTCTAACTTATAGATTTAGTAACAAACCATCAAATCATAGATTTGGCAACAAAACCATGAAATTATAGATTTGGCAACAAAACTATGAAATCATAGATTTTGTAACAAACCAGTAAATATAGATTTGGTAATAAACTAGTAAATCACTAGATTATCTTACTATATACAAATATGATCTATTCTACGTTTAACAATCCCATAATTTTAAATTGGTAGGTGGCATGCTCTCATTTTCGGCTTTAAATGACATAGTATGAGGTGGATGTAGACATTAAGGAGTCGATTAATAGAATTTATATTTTTTTTTAGAAAAATGAAAACCGAGGAAAAGTCAAAACTCAAGGGCTTAAAAAGTAATATGGAATTAGAGATGTCCATAGGGTGGGGCCTTGAAGTAATCGAGTTCTCTACACGTAATTTTTTTCTCATTTATTATTCTTTAAAAAAAAAACCCGTTATTTTAAAGTTTTGATTTTTCAATATAATCTTTATTAAAAATGTAAAAAAAATTAAATATATTTCATTATATATATATATATATATATATATATATATATATATGATATCATATTAAATGGGTGAGAATAGAAAATATAATCCTATCTCTCATCTCATTTATGTAACGAAAAAAAATGTTTTCTACCCTCTTTTCGATACTCCGTCTAAACGGAAAATCCTTCCCGTTTGGAGCATGTTCTACCGATAAAATTGATATCTCTTTCCGAAATTGAATGAATAAGAGACAAAGGAGTCCATTTTAATGAGCTGTAGCCCCATCCCGTTCCAAAGAAGATGGAAAAGTCATTATATTGGCCTTTTGCCTCCTGATATGGCTCGCAATAAATGGCGGACTCTTCTGGTTGAAGTCAATGAATTATTGACATATAACCAACTGGTACCTGACGAGTGGCTAAAATTCAATAAATCTCTCACTTATCCAAACAAAATTTAAAGTTTGGGTGAAATTATCAACTTTATTGCCTTCATAATTTTGTTTCAACTTGTTCTTTTAATTTTGATCTTATGAGACATTAATGCATTTTACCTAAATGTTGACAGGTCACGGTAACAATAATTTGACAAGACATACGAAAGAATGGAGGAATGAGTCTACATTTTTTTTTAAATAAGACCATCCCTACGTTATGTCATGGTTGATTTATGTACAAAGCTAATTTAAAGCATCATATCTTAAATTTATCATGAACTGAAGTACTCATAAACTTGCAATTATCGAAAAACTACGGTTGAATTACGGTTAAACAACCCCTTGAGAGTAAAAAATGAAAATATTATTATGCTAAACTCATGATAAAAGTATGACTAAAATGTGGAATAAGCCACTTATGGTTTTATTCCATGGTCTCTTTAATAGATACCATCGTTTGTTCATGGATTGTTGGCCGTTAGGTCGAAAATAGTTAATATAATAGGATGAATATTTAAAAATAATCAGTAGGTGAGTTGAATTCAATAAACTAAGTAGTAACATGGCTAGTGAGACCTAATTTTCATGTCGTTTCTTATGTTTTACGTCATTTTTCAAGTAATGTTAGATGAATAGTATTCCTTTTCTAATGGCAAGATTTCCGGCGAGGCTTGACCCAAGCACACTGCAGCAACCCATAGTCGAAGTTCCAATCTGTCTAGCACCCGTGGCCCCGACGCAATCCACCATCCACCTGATGCACGCCCAGAAACACGACTTGCGTGCCTATGAGAGTGACCCAACCCGACTCGCAAGCCACACATGCTCCAGCCGCTACACGTGTCTCCATTCGGCTCCAGCGACTGAAAACCAACTATTTGGCTCGGATTTGGAAATTTGACACTTTTACCTAAGTTTTGGACCCTGTTGAAGCTAAATTTGACCTTATTGAAAGGATTTAAAGTCAGTATAAACTCATTTTCTTAGTTTTAAATTAAAGGAATTCGACTTTTATTGAGGCCATTGAACGAATTTCCAAATAGGTGAAGCCTCAACATAAGCGAGAACGAATTCGAAGGACGAAAGCAAGCTAAATTGGAAGGAGAACTTCGGCTAAGGCCAACCATTTAAGTGACCCTACTATCAGCTGAGTCGGAAGACTTGTCTTATGTGGGATGACACATGCTAGTAGCCCTTGCACGTGCCATGTATGTTGGTAGAATGTACTATGATGATGTAATATGTTATAATGACGTGATTTGCTATTATGATATGTTATGATGATGTGATGTATTATGATGCGATGATATGTTATGATGATGATGCATCATGATATGATGACATGTGATGTATGATAATATCTTATGTTACGATTATATGCATGTATGAGATGCCATGTTGCATTATGATAATAAAGAGTTTTCTGATACATAACCTCTAAACAACGTTATGAATGATGAATGTATGAAAGTTTTATACATGTATATTACCTAGACTACATAAATGATTTAAGATGAAAAGTATAGAGACCACATAAATGATTTAAGATGAAAAGTATAGGGACCACATGCATATTGTATGTTCACTAAATTGGGATACTTCTCCTTTTATGATGAGTACTGGCTCGTACACTATGATGATTATAATCATCATCATGCTTTGCATGATATACGAGAGTTTGATGTACCTCCGGACGTTTGGCTACAACCGACTAGCCCAACCATGCAAGTCCAAAGCGGTGTGCGAGCTCGCCGGATGGGATTACGCTTGCATGTGTGGACCGTGTGTAGGGAAGTACTACACATCCAATTATAAAGTTACAAGATATTTGAGGTCATAAATTGAAGTTAGTTTACCATGGGGGCATTATAGTAATTTTGCATTGTTACTTGGATTAGCTATTAACCTTATCCAATGACCACCAAATTTTATATATAATATTAACATGTCATCTCATGGCTAACATTAAAATTTTATGAGCAGTGGAGTTCGTTTAGTAGATTATTGTAACGTTACTTAATTTTTAAGTAAAATGCTCAGTTTAAATCCTTAACTCACAAATCTTTGCTTATTTATTTCATATTTATTTAAATAATACACAGTTAATTCTAAGCGATTCCTACAAGTATTTCTTAAAAAAAATTTCAAGATTGATTACTTACTTCTTAGTCGATATTCATGACCTTGGTTTTCGAACTTATGGGACTCAACTTACTCAAAAAAATAATAATAATAATAATAATAATTTGATTACATTCTTAAGGAGCCTAGTTTCTTGAACCAATTCTTATGAGAACCACTCTAGATTGTGGCGCCTCGTTGGAACCCTTCCTTGGTACTGGATTGGGTTATATGTCGTTGGATCTAGGCCAATGCATGGATGGTGGGCTAGGCACTGAACAAGTGAAGATGGGCTACTGGGTTTTGGGTCGTGCATAAGGCGGGCAACGTGATTGTGAAGAAGGTATGATCTTGGTGACATTCATGATTATATCAATTGCTATATTGATTACATCTTGTCCAAAGAGAGTGGGAGATATTTTGTAGATTTTAAATATTGAAGCAACCACATTTTTCTTAATATAATTGAATAATATGATCTTGGTCGAGCACACGCGTTAACATGTCATCGAACACCACAGAAAAGGAAAGACGCGCATGATATCATGATAAACATAAATATCGAGAGTACGCGTCTGTACTAGCATAACATAACAGGAAAATATCCCAATGCACATGACATACATCCATATATGAGGTCCTATGATTTTCATTCCTAACATAACATGACATACATCCCTCTTTGAGCTTTTCTTCCAAGGATTCCCTTCAAGGTTTTAAAACATGTCTAGTAGAAAGAGATTTCCACACCATTGTAAAGAATGGTTCGTTCCTCTCTCTTTTCATCATGACATATTTCATATATGCATCGTTTATACATGGAAATCATCATATGATCAAACCTATAACTTTATGTGGCAGTACATAACATGACGCACATAGTAATTCATTTCATTTACAACATAGCGTAATGGATATCACATGCATACATATAATAGCATCCTATGTCATTACATAGAACACTTACACATAACACAAACAACATGGTGCATGCAGGGGTCACGAGGCATACACCATAACATCATTCAACTATATAAATCCAACAGTTAGGTCACTTACGTGATTAACTTAGGTCAGTGTCACCAATTTATCCCTAATGAAAGTTTGTTTTTGTCATTTGAAATCCAAGTCAACCTAAGTGAGCCCATGACATGAGTTTCACGTTCGAACTTCTGTGAAGCTATTTCTCTAATTTACAATGATCTATGTGTTAGACTTCATGAAAACATTAGAGCCTTTTCATGAGTGAAGTCTTGGAATATATATGTTTGTTCTCATACATCATACACCTCTTCCAACCAATCTACAATAGAGTCACTTATTTGTTTGGTCATTCCAACCAATTTACAATAGAGTTACTTATTTGTTTGGTCATGACTCCGAGTCAAGAGTCCCTAAATATTTTAAAGTTGGTTCGAGGTTGTCCTTCAACGTCCAATTTAACCTATACAAACTAATGACATAATAATAAGGTATATGAACCAATTTAATTTAGCTAAAAGTATTTAATACTCTTAACTTTTTAGCTAAAAAAGATCTAATTTGAGAGTCTTACTGATCTCAAATGATGTTAGGAGGGTCAAAAACAGCAACATCTTCGAGAGGGTCTCAAAATGTGGGGAATGTGTCCGATAACCCTTTACCGAGTCAAATAAGCCAAATTTAAGCAACTAGAGTTGATGAGTGGCACCAGAGCCTAGCCGTGAAGTTAGCTAAAAGTAAGCCAAGATGAGTCGGGACTGGGTGGAAGCACACATCCTATGCTTGTGGTGGCTAGGAGGTATGTAGGGTCACCACTCGGGTCGAGTTGCGGACTTCGGGTTGGGCTGCGTCTGTGGGTCGATGTCACGCGGGAGAGGGCCAAACAGTAACCTGTAGGCCGTTGGTTATGTGTGTTTACGGAGTGGGCATTGGATCACCTGAAACCAAAGTCCAACCTGACTTTTGACATGCGAACTCCTTCTTTGCCCATCTATTAGGGAGAGATTTTCACCCTAACACATTTTCTCTCTCTAACACTACATGTCCCTTTTTCATTCTTAGTTTCCTTTTGAATGACAACCGACACATCCTCCATTCACCAATACTCGCTAGGTCTACATTCACGATTGGGATGATGAAACCTAAACACGACAACATTTAGGAGGAAGAAACCCACACAACATCCTTTTATATCTACCAGCATGTAGCTGGGATAGACGAGTGCTTTACCAATCTATGTGCTTGATAGTAGGAACTGCGACGATGTCAATCATGATTTGGAATCGATGTGCACCTGTGAAGTCACGGAATGGAGTTTGAAGGGCATGGCACAAGGCTTTTGAAGAGGGGTGTGGGTGGTTTCTTCTAAGGATATATAGTCAACCTGAATAAAATTTAAATGAGTTTAATATCATACATTGAAATATATTATTTTATATCTACAAAGATTTTATTTCATGGTAGATAAGATATTTGGGTCTAAGCATCTATTCAAAGAAATAATCCTTCAAAAAATTCGAAGATGTATCGAGCTTCTTTTGATAGGTTCCTACAAATTTGATTTTATATTTGAATCATTGTCTGAAAAGATACTAAATAAGTCTTCAAAGTTCTATCTTAATTTTGTTTATTCTTAAATATTAATTTCTAAATTATTTAAAAACTACCATTCGTTAATAGTCTATTCTTATCTTTAAGAATCGAAGAAGGGAAACTATTGAAGATAAATCGTTTTTTTAGAAATAAAATAAAGTTGATGTGATAATCCACCAACCCCAATCACGACCTATCATTGATTTCTCTATTAATTTCGTACCACATATCATAATTGAAGTCATATTTTTACACACAATTATCTTACATTTTTCATTCACTTGTATGAATAGAAGCACACTTAAGCTAGTGGACTAGACCACCTTCAGGGCATAATCGTAATTTCCTCTCCTCCGACAACATTTTGGCAAATTCGACAAGTGCATCTTCGTTGGTTCCTTTCCCTTTAATTGGTTCAAACATTCCAGATTCCAAATTTACCCTCGACAGTGGTTTCTTCAGCAAATTCTCCCCCACTTGTAGCAACTTTTGCAGATTGTCTTCTGTCGCCATATCCATAGATGAAACATCACTACTCAATGAATCGTCCTATTTATTTGTTAAAGAAGGGAAATAGAAGTAAGATTAAAAGAATCATTAATGTTGACGATCTTTAAATAAGATCCTCTTAAAAAAATAATATTTACGGATATCTAATGTACCTGAATACGCAGATAATGTTGGTTACAGTGAGAACATTGAAAGATGCTAGAAATATGATAGTCCACCATATCATTACTAGCATCGCTAAAAATATCAACCAACGGCGCCGATCCACCCTGGTAGATCCAACCAAGCACGCCCCATTTCGAACATTGAGCTGCACTATACTTTCCATCATTCTTAGGCGCGCCAGTGCCCAAAGACAACACCAACATCTTCTTTGTTTCCATGGGTTTAATACTCAAATATTCACTTTTTCGTCCCAAGGTGACCACCTCTTTTGTCACATGGGTTATGGCCGCCAGTGTCTACATACCAATTTAAACCGTAATATATTAACTAACAACAATGTGTAGATATTTGACTGTGATAAAAGATTAAATATGACATTTATGTTAAACTATAATTCAATCTTAAATATCCTTAAAAGCTTACTGGGTTGTTTGCCGCAACTCCTCCATCTACCATATCAAAATTACGAACATTATTTCCATTAGAGTTCTTGGTTTGAAATTCGTGCCCCGGTAAGATAGTTGGTGCTGCCGAGGTACTAATACAAACATCAGCCAATCTTGGATTGTTCAACTCATCTCGTTTCGCCTAACCCATCAAAATCACTTCAATCAACCAAAAATTTGTTATGATGATCAAATATTTGAGTACAAATTTTGCATACATCAAGTGTTGTGAAGATCACAGGTTGTAAGCGCTTGATATCAAATGCAGGAATGACGACATGCGTAAGCGTTTGCTTCAGGGTTAGCTCTCCAAGCAGCTCATTTATCAATTTCCTCAAGTATTTTCCATCGTACTTTGGGCCCATCACTTGCCCAAATACATTCATTATTGAGCTTAAAAGATGACTGTTTTCATCACAAAACACCAATTTAAAAGGTTAAGAACCAAAACAAACGTAAATTGATGGAGAAAAGGGAACTGACTTTCTTTGTGGGAAGATATGGGGAGCCTTTTCCAAGTAAAAATGGATGAGATCTTTAGCTGCATATAATGGTCGGTTGTTCTTGTCAGGAGCTGTGAGCATGGATGTAACCAAACCACCTGTACTTGTTCCTGCAATTACATCAAAATAGTCTGCTATTCTTGCATCTGGACCATCCAATTCCTAATCAAAGTGTATATAAAATGAGAAGCGTTTTAAACATTAACGCGTTGTTTTGAAATGATGTAAAATTTGGATTTGATGAACACTATATATACCTGAAGCTTGGCCTCGAGGAAAGCAAGGATGGTTCCGGGAATGATGCCTCTAATGCCACCTCCATCGATACTCAAAATTGTTACCATCTTCCCCTTCTCGAAGACAGATGCCATGGTTGAGAGATGTGGGAAATGGGTATCTGGGAAAAGGGTTTATAAGGGAAATCTGAGCACTGTTTTACTAATCAAGGCTTCAATAATGGAGTTTCAATTGGGACCACCCTCCAATCCACCTTCCTAGGAACTCAATGTCCTTGATGACACACCGCTTTGTGTCCATCCACTTCGGGCACAGTGTCCTTGTTGACACACTGCCTTGTGTTCACCCCCTTTAGGGCCCAGTGTCTTTGTTAGCACACCGCCTTGTGTCCACCGCCATTCGGAGCTCAGTGTCCTTGTTGGCACACTGCCTTGTGTTCACCCCCTTCAGGGCCCAGTATCCTTGGCACACCGCCTTGTGTCCACCTCCCTTCGTGGCCCAGTGTCCTTGTTGGCACACCACCTTGTGTCCACCGCCATTCGAAGCTCAATGTCCTTCTTGGCACACCGCCTTGTGTCCACTTCCTTTCAGGGCCCAGTGTCCTTGGCACACTGCCTTGTGTCCACTTCCCTTCAGGGCTCAGTGTCCTTGTTGGCACACTGCTTGTGTCAACCCCTTTCGGAGCCTAGTATCCTTGGCACACTGCCTTGTGTCCACCTCCCTTCGGGGCTCAATGTCCTTGTTGGCACACTGTTTGTGTCAACCCCTTTCGGAGCCCAGTGTTCTTCTTGGCACACTGCCTTGTGTCCACCTCCTTTCGGGACTCAGTGTCTTTGTTGGCACACTGCTGTGTCAACTCCTTTCAGAGTCCAGTGTCCTTGTTAGCCCCCCACCTTGTATCCACCCCCTTTGGAGCACAGTGTCTTTGTTTTCACATCGCCTTGTGTCCACCTCCTTCGAGGCCCAATCTCATCGTTGGCACATCGATCGGTATCTGACTCTGATATCATTTGTAATATCCGAAACCCACAGCTAGCAAATATTGTTTTCTTTGAGTTTTTCCTTTCGAACCTCTGCTCAAAATTTTTAAAATACTCTCTTAGGAGAGGTTTTTCACACTCTTACAAAAAATGTTTCATTATTCTTCCTAACAAATAAGAATCTCATATTTAATTTAATTTGTGTTTCACGTTGATCATCATTGATTTGAGAAAACAAAAAGACAACATGATGTTTATTGGCCTTATCGTCAATTGTTCAAATTTCTGCATTTGTCTACACTTTCAACGAATCTAATTTAATATTGCCTTTCCATTTTAACTCTGCCTTTTATTTTTTTTATTTAGGCTATAAATATTTAGAGGGTTCTTCATTATATATCACCTTCTAGAATTTTCAATTTTACTTTCAATATATATTAATAATTTTCAATTATATTCTTTTTGCAAAAGGAAAATGATTAAAATAAATTTGATAAAAAGCTGATGTAATATGGCATGATTAAAATAAATTTGATAAAAAGCTGATGTAATAGGCTATACAGTAATGTGTCTTATGTCAGTCTATCGACATGATGCAATATGGCATTCATCGTCATATAACATGTTTAATATGAAAAACATCAACATATTAAGACAAACGTCATGCTATCATCATACTTATTATATCAACATAAAGTGCATCAAACATATCAAGTCTGTACTAGACCAAGGCTTCAATAATAGAGTTTCAAAAGCAGAGCTAATCTATAATAGACCAAACTCACCACTAGTAGACATTGTTCTCATGTTTTCTTATTTTTTCTAAGATTTTTAAAACGCTTCTCTAGTTGATATTTTCCTCTTGTTTTCTTGTTTTCCTTAAAGATTTTAAAATGCGCCTGTTATGGAAAGGTTTTCATACCCTTGTTTGTTCTCTTCCTCAATCGATGTAGGACCACTCCCAATCCATCGCCTTCGAGGCCCAGTATCCTTGCTGGCACACCGCCTCATGTCCACCCCCTCTTCAGGACTCAGTCTCATTGCTGGCTCATCTCCCGATGTTTGGCTCTGATACCATTTGTAATAGCTTAAGCCCATTGCGAGTAGATATTGTTTTTTTTTTGGTTTCCCTTTCGGACTTCCCTTCAAAATTCTTAAAACGATATTTACTACGGAGAGATTTTCACACTTTTATAAAAAATAGTTCGTTCTCCTCCTTTGATATCTCACATGCTCATTATTCAATTTGTGATTCACGTTGATCCTAATTTATTTTAGGCAACAAAAAGACATCATGATGCTTATTGGCCTTATCTCTAATTTGTTCAAATTTCTGCATTTGTCTGGACTTTCCACGAATCTAATTTAATATTGCCTTTTCATTTTAACTCTGCCTTTTATTTTATTTAGGCTAAAAATATTTAGAGGGTTCTTTATTATATCACCTTCTATTTGGTTACGAATCTTATAGCTTTTTCAATTTTACCTCCTCGAGAAGAAGATAGATGACGAACGGTTTTGTCTCGTCAGACATAAATATCGATGAAACAGAGACCTTCAGTCTAGTAAACGAAAGATGAGCAAACACGCAGAAGATTAACAAGATTGTAACGACCCTAAATTTCTATATATTTAGAGTCGCTACTAACGTTTCAGGCTCATCTCTTAATTGCGGAATATAACTCTTAAATGTTCATCATAAATAGGAAAAAATTTAAAACTTTCGGGACACTTCAAACTAAACACTACCGGACTTATGTGTTTCAAAAATATAACAAAAAACAAAAACAAAAACAAATACAAATGAAATAATGTAAATAATGAAATTCATACATCGTATTCTAACCTAAGACTAGGAAATTCCATCACGTAGAGTTTGGAATCCCAACTTCCCTTAAAATCTAAGACTCAAGCGCTTAACATGTCCTTCAAAATTTGGTTTAAGCACTCCGTTTGTCCATCTGTTTATGGGTGGAGGGCGGTGCTAAAGTCGAGGCGAGTACACAACACTTTTTGAAGTCCGCGGCAAAACGCTAACATAAAGCGTGGATCTCGATCCAACACTATAGACACTAGAACTTCATGTAGTCTTACTATTTCTTTCACACACATTGCGCCTAATTATCAACGGTATATGTGGCTTTCCCAGATTAGAAGTGTGCCAACTTGGTCAACCTATTGACAATTACCCATTACTGTATAGCCTTTGAGCGTTTTGGGTAATCCTACTATGGAGTCCATTGCTATGTTTTCCCACTTCCACTCCGGTATACTTAGGGGCTGTAACATCCCCGCTGTCTTTGGTCTAGGAGCTTTCACTTGTTGATAAACTAAGCACTTGCTCACAAACTTGGCCATGTCCCGCTTCATGCTCTTCCACCATAAATATTGTTTTAAATCTTGGTACATCTTAGTACCTCCTGGGTGCATAGCAAATGGGGAGTTGTGGGTTTCTGTTAGTATCTCTTTCCATAGACCTCTATTGCCAGGATACATAAGCGTCCCTGATACAATAGTTCTTCATCTGCAGATTTCGAGAATCCATCTACTAAACTCCTCTCGTTGGGAGGTAATAATTCTCTGCCTAAGCATAGGTTGCACTTCTTCAACTAAAAAATGGCTCAATCGACTCGATTTAACAATTTTGACATCAACCCTTGCATTTTTTACCCTTTCGGAGTTGATTTTGACCATAATTAAGGTAATTAAGGTTAGTAGAATGCTCTATTTCACTATTGCAAGTTGAATTTACATTAGAATTGTGAGATACTAACGAAAGGCAATGAACGACCTAATAGGAAACGATCCCCAACAATGTTTGGAGCAGCTTCGAGGAACGAAAGCTTAGCAAAACTCAAATTTAGGGAAACACCGACTAAGGCTAAACAAGTGGTCTTACTATAGGATAGGCTAGATCATTGCTTGATGTATGACGACACGTGCCTAGTGGTTCCCACACATGTCGTTTATACTTTATATTTATGATGCCTTAAAGACATTTTATGATGTATGTCGTATGATGTATGATGACGTGTATGAGTTATATGATGACGTCTTATGATGTTTTACAATGATTATGATATGTTTATGATGATGCATGCTAACATGACGATGTAAGATGATGTACTTCCTTAATATGATGTTATTTTCCATATTAAGTTGAGAAGCATGTTGTGAATGTCATGCTGCAGTATGATGATAATTCTCCTAGGACACAACCCTAGTTAATGTTAATAATGATGATACTATGAAGATTAATGCACATATATTACTGATAGTAATACAAGGATGAAATTAGGGTTGTGTCATAAAGATGTTTTAAAGATGAGAAACCATAAGACCTCATGCATTTCTATATATATATATATAAACATTGGGACACTTCCCCTTTTACGATGATGAGTACGGACGTGTATGCTACGATGATGATCATCATCATGTCGCGCATGATACTCAGGGATCTACTAACCTCTGGACGTTGCTACGGACAGCTAATTCGACTATTATGGATCCAGGGGTGCGAATTGTTTGGGGATTCACTCTTGCACGTGTGGGTCGTGTGTAGGGAAGTAATGCACATCCAATTTAGTCCGGACTGGAGGCCACCCCTAGGATGTTTTAACGATAGGTCCCTAGAGCATGACTTGCATGTATTTGCATTTTTTCAACCCCTCTAGTGGAGTCACTTACTGAGTATTTTTCTAAATACTCAAGTCATATGCTACATCATTCTCAAGTAAAGGCAAGAGGCCCCTGTACAGCTGACGACGATATCGTAATCAGAGACCATGACACGTGCATAGGCTAGTAGCATTTTTAAATTCCTAGTCTTAGATTAGAATAGGTTGTTATGTGTTTCATATTTTTTGAATTATTTATTATTATTGTTTTTAATTCTGTTTTTTAATTACATTTTTAAACACTGCATTTTTAAACACGTAAGACCATGATGGTATTTCCAATGATAATGTTATGTTTTTTAGATGAAGCTATGATTTTACGATTATATTTTAAGAGTTAAATTCCGCACAAGAGCTTAGGTTAAGATGATGGTAGCGACTTTAGTCTAGAGTCGTTATATTATATTAGAGTCAAAGTCTTCATTTCCTTAATCATTCATGTGCTCGTCTTTTACTCGAGTGTCACAATTTTAAAAATCAAAATGAGTCTCAATCGATTTCTTATT